CTATGAAGTTTTACCCAATTTCTTCCAATTTGATCCCAAATTCGAATTTTAATGATGGATTTAACTACAAAAATGATGAAATATAACTAGAAGGGATTAAAGAAACGTTAACCAATAGTCTTCTCTTCAAAACCCTCTGAAAATCGCCCTTACCCGAGCTCAATTTGGTTTTTCTAACTTATGAAATCAAACCCTCGAATTTTCTATATCAGAACAGGCATTTCCGCTTCTGCGGACAAGGGACCGCATCTGCAGTCCCACTTCTGCGGACTAATATACCGCTTCTGCGGTTTTCATTAAAGGGGACAGGGCCGCATCTGCGATGGCTGGGCCGCTTCTGCGGCTCCGCTTCTGCGATGCCTAAGCCGCTTCTGCGGCTCCGCTTTTGCGAAAATGGCACCGTTTCTGCGGCTTCTGAGGGAAAAGGGGACAAGCCGCTTCTGCGGCGCCGCATCTGCGGTTCCCAAGCCGCAGATGCGAAAATACCAGAAGGGGGACATTCAGCTGCCGCATTACTTCAAAATTCCTCCGATAACCACCCGAAATCATCCCGAGGCCCCCGGGACCCCAACCAAAAGCACCAATACCACCTAATACCTTATTCGAACTTGTACCAATCTTAAAAACACCTAAAACAACGCCAGAAACCCGAATTAATCAAAGATTCAAGCCTAAGAACTTCAAATTCCAACAAAACACGCTTTCGATCAAAAACCTAACCGAACCCCGTTCGAAGGACCTGAAATTTTGCACACACATCCCAAATGACATGACGGAGCTACTGCAACTTCCGGAATTCCAATCCGCCCCTCGGATCAAAAACTCACTATCGGACCGGAAACTTTAAAAAAATCAACCTTCGGCATTTCAAGCCTAAATGAGCTACGGACTTCCAAAATATATTTCGAACACGCTCCAAACCCCGAAATTACCTAACGGAGCTAACGGAACCATCGGATTTCTGTTCCGAGGTTGTCTTCACACTGTTCCGACTACGGACCACTTTTCAACACTTAAGCTCTCATTTAGGGACTAAGTATCCCAAAACTCTCCGAAACTTAACACCGAACGTCCCGGCAAACAAAAATAGCCGAAATGAACTTGGGGGAAGCAGTTAATAGGGGATCGGGGCGTAAATTCTTAAGACGACCGGCTGGGTCGTCACACTTAACTAAGCCAATGACCAACTAAACACCGCAGGTGTCTATTAAGAGCGTCAACTAAACACCCACGCATGGCTTGGCATATCGCGTGTTGCACGCTCATGTAACAGCACGTTGCCTCAAATTTTAACCCCTTTCCAGCGGTAATAAATGGATATAATTCCTAATTTTTCCTTATTGAGGTCTCATGTTATACCCAAATTGAGAAACCTAATTAGCACTTCCTCTTTCTTCTCTATATCTCCCCTACTTGTGACTAGGTTCCACCATACTATTTTACCAAAATCTGCACTCATGAGCTATAAGCTAGGTTTTTTTTACAAGAACATGCTTTTTGTTTTTTAATTTCTCAGTGTGTTTGTTTATGAGAATGGTAAGGGAATGGGGATGTGGTGTGATACTAAAAAAGAGATAGGAGATCTGCATTTTTTCAGTGAAAAAATGGAGAGTTTGCCTTGAGTTGAGATGTAAAAATAGTAATAATAACATGAGATTAAAAAGGAGAGAGAAGTAGCAAGAAGAGAGAAAATTTTCATTTTGATTTCATTTGCAGTTGCAGAAGACGGGGTGGGGGAAGGAACAAAACATTGATTTCTATTTTTTCACTTCAACACGATGGACCACCAAGGTTAATACATGGATGATAACCTTCAAGACCACTGGATTTGGCACCACTCTTTTAGCCTTTGGGTTTTTAAGTTCCTAATTATCCCTATAAACAGAGGAGAAGAACTGAGGAAGAACAGAAAGCAAGTTAGATTTGCCAGCCCACTTTCTTTTCCTTGTGGCTATTGCTCTGTTGAATTAGGGATGAGAGAGAGATAGGAGGTGAGAAGGAGATGGGGCGGAAGGAAGAAGAAGAATAGGGAAAGGTGTAGAGGGCTAGTGTGCTTAAATTTTTTTTACAAAAAGGTTTTTTTCTTTTCTTTAAGTGTATTTCTTTGTTAATTACAAATGTCAAATTTTTTAATTACAAATTACACGTGTCATTATTTAATTAGTTCATTTGACACGTCATTGGCAAGTCTAATTCACGCATATGGTCTGTTATACTCAGGTGTCTATTTGATATACTTTTAAAAGTCACTTAAAGTGTTTAAATGATAAGGTACGGTCATAGCTAGGCAGTGACAATTGTTCCTTAGGTCGATTATGATGGTTTGACAAAATTTTAGGTGATCCGGGTCCGGCCGCCAGGGCCCATGCAGAAGGCATGGGCTATAGCACATGAAAATTTGGGAGTCGGGTGAAATTCCAGTTTTATGTCTAAAATGCCGAAAAATTAGGAACGATCTTGGCGAGGCAGTGACTATTTTTTCTTAGGTCGTTTTATATGGTCCACAAAAATTTAGGCGATTCAGGTCCAGCCGTCCGAGGCCATGAAGAAGGCATGGGCTATAGCATACGAATATTTTAGAATCAGGTAGAATTCCAGTTTTATGTCCCTAAAATGTCAAAAAATGAGAAACGGTCATGGCGAGGCGGTGAATATTATTCGTTAGGTTGGTTCCTTACGTCATTTTTATAGTCCGATAAAATTTTAGGTGATTCGGGTCCAAACGCCCGGGCCCATATAAAAGGCGTGGGCTATACATGAAAATCTGGGAATTAGGCAGAATTTATGGCCTTAAAACGGCAAATATTGAGGAACGGTCATGGCCAGGCAGTGACTATTTTTCCTTAGGTCGTTTTTCATGGTCCGGCCAAATTTTAGGCAATTTGGGTCCGGCCGCTCTGGCCCATGCATAAGGCGTGGGCTATAACATACGAAAATTTGGGAGTCGTGCAGAATTCCAGTTTTATGGCTCTAAAATGTCAAAAACGAGGAACGGTCATGGAGAGGTGATGACTATTGTTCCTTAGGCTATTTATGATGGTCTGTCAAAATTTTAGGTGATCCGGATCCAACCGTTCGGGTCCATGAAGAAGGCGTGGGCTATAGCATACAAAAATCCGGAATTGGGTAGAATTCCAATTTTATTTCCCTAAAATGCCAAAAACAAGTAACGATCATGGCAAGGCGGTGACTATTATTCGTTAGGTAATTTTTTATCGTCCATCAAAATTCTAGGCGATCCGGATCCGGTAGCCAGGGCCTATGTAGAGGCGTGGGCTATAGGACACGAAAATCGAAGAATCGGGTAGAATTCTAGTTTTATGGCCCTAAAATACCAAAACATGTGGAATGGTCATGGTGATGAGGTGACTAATGTTCCTTAGGCTGTATTTGATGTTGCGAAAAAATTTTAAGCGATCTGGGTTCTGCAGCCTGCGCACATGTAGAAGGCTTGGGCTATATCACACGAAAATCTAGAAATCGAGCAGAATTCCAGTTTTATGGCTTTAAAATATTGAAAAATAGGGAACGGCCATGGCTAGGCGGTGATTATTGTTCCTTAGACGTTTTTGATGGTCTGGAAATTTTTTAGACGATTTGGGTCGGACCAGCCGGGTCCAGGCAGTAGGCGTGGGCTATAGCACACGAAAATCTGAAAATTGGGCGAAATTCCAGTTTTATGGCCCTAAAACGCCAAAAATTGAGGAACGATCATAGTGAGGGTTTATTATTCCTTAGGTCATATTGGATAGTCCGGCAACATTTTAGCCGATCCAGGTCCGGCCTCCGGACCTATGTAGAAGGCATGGGCGCACACGAAAATCTAGGAATCGAGTGGAATTCCACTTTTATTGCTTTAAAATGCTGAAAAATAAAGAAAGGTCATGGAGAAGCGGTGACTAGTGTTCCTTAGATCATCCTTGATGGTCCGGCAAAATTTTAGGCGATACGGGTCCAGCCGGCCAGGCCCATGCAGAAAGCGTGAGCTATAGCACACGAAATCTTAGAATTGGGCGGAATTCTAGTTTTATGGCCCTAAAACGCCTAAGTAAAGGAACGGTCATGCCGAGGTGGTGACTATTGTTCCTTAGGTTATTTTGGACGGTCTGATAAAATTTTAGGCTATCCGGGTCCGATCACCCGGGCCCATGTAAAAGACGTGGGCTATAACGAACGAAAATATGAGAATCGGGTGGAATATCAGTTTTATGGCCCGAAAAGGCCAAAAAACGAGCAACGGTCATGGTGAGGCGTTGACTATTGTTCCTTAGGCCGTATTTGATGGTTCGGTAAAATTTAAGGCAATCCGGGTCCGGTTGCCCGGGCACATACAGAAGGCGTGGGCTATAACAAGAAAATCTGGTGATCGGGTGGAATTCCAGCTTTATGGTCCTAAAATTCTAAAAAATAAGGAATGGTCATGGCGGGACAGTGACTATTATTCCTTAGGTTGTATTTGATGGTCCGACAAAATTTTAGGCGATCCGGGTCAGGCAGCCTGGGCCCATGCAGAAGGTGTGGGCTATTGCACACGAAAATCTGGGAATCAGGCAGAATTCCAGTTTTATTGCTTTATATTGCTGAAAAATAAGGAACGGTCATGGCGAAGAGGTGACTATTGTTCTTTAGGTCATTTTTTATCCAGGTCCGGCAGCTTGGGCCCATGTCGAAAGCGTGGGATATAGCACACATAAATCTGGGAATCGGGTGGAATTCTAGTTTTATGGCTTTAAAACTCCGAAAAATGAGGAACGGTAAGCTCAAGCAAAAGGCGTGGGCTACAAATACTTCTCAACTGCGAAAATAGTGAAATTCAGAAGGGAAATCCACAATTTCTGCAAAAAGGATACTGATACAGTTTTCGAGGCTTGGGAAAGATTCAAAGAGATAGTGAGAAAGTATTAGCATAAATCAAATTATGGATGCAACTCCAAGAATTTTGGGATGGACTGACACCTGTCTCATGACGAACACTAAGTACTGCAGTTGGAGGTCCTTTAATGAAGAAAACTGTTGAGGAGATTGTTCCAATTCTTGCTGAGCTCTCTGAAGATGCTAATCAATGGCCTTTTGAGAGTAATGATAGAAGAAAATCAGCTGGGGTTCATCAAGTAGACTCTAACACATCACTACAAGCCCAGCTAGACACCATGGCCCGAGAAATAATAAAGTTAACACTCACGAAGATACAGAGTGAGCCGCAAGTAGCATGTGACTTTTGTGGAATGGGTCACCCTATACATTAGTGTCAAGCTTCAGCTGAAGTAGTAAATGTTGTGAGGAGTTTAGATAGAGGAAACTACCAAAATGGCAACAATTTCTTGGAGTTCACTAGGTGGTAGTGCAAACGCATGGCAGCAAAGTAACTCTAGATCCCAAGGATAGGGAGCTCTAGGTTTTCAAAATCAGCAGAGGCAACAATATCATCCTCCATAGTCTAGTATGGAAGATTTGATGAAGGCCTATATTGTTAAGACAAATGAGAGGCTGGAAACCCATGGCACAGCTATTAGAGAACTGGGCACGGCCTTTCAAAACTTGGAAAGACAAAGTGGGACAACTAGCTAATCTATTGTCTGAGAGGGTTCCAAGAACTCTCCCCGCTGATACTAAAAGAAATCCAAAAGAGATAATAAATGCAGTGTCTTTGAAGAGTGGGAACGTATTGGAGGATCCTAGGGCAAAACAAAGGATGAGCTAATTGAAAGACAATATTGTGGAGGAACAAAAAAATGACAACAATCAAGAAGGTGCAGGGATGGTGGATGATGGTCTTAAAAAAATATAATGGGAATACTAGAGCTCAGAAAAAGTAAAAGATGAGAAAGAAATAAATGAGGATACTGAAGAAATTAAATTTATGTCTCCTCTACCTTTTTCGCAGAAGCAGAGAAGAGAGAAGATGGACAAACAATTCGGGCACTTTCTAGAAGTGCTCAAGCATCTGCTTGTGAATATACCTTTCACAGAGGTACTATCACAGATGCCAGCTTATGCTAAATTTTTGAAGAAGATATTGTTCAAAAAGCGAAAAGTGAAAGAGACATCGGTTGTCAAGCTCACAAAGCATTGTAGTGCCATTCTGCAAAATAAGCTCCCCCCAAAGTGTGGAGATACAGGGAGTTTTACTATATCTTGCTCTTTAGGAAGTACTAAGTTTGAAAAATCTTTGTGTGATTCAGGTGCTTCTATTAATCTTATGCCTTTGTCTATTTTAAGAAAATTAAAGAGAGAGATTAGAGAAATCAGGTCGATACCTATGTCCTTGCAGCTGGCGGATCAGATCACAATCATACGTGAAGGAATAGTGGAAGATGTGCTAGTTCGGATGGAACATTTTGTGTTCCTTGTGGACTTCATTGTGGTGAACATGGAGGAGAATAGAGAGGTCCCTCTAATTTTAGGAAGAACCTTCTTGGCTACTGGTAGAGCAATTTTGGACATTTAGGAAAGGCAGCTCATGCTCAGAGTGGGGGAGGAAAGAGTGATCTTCAAGATGGAAGGAGCAATGGGGGCCCTAAAGGAGCAAACTAGAGAGAGTAAAACTGATGAGTGTGGGGTATACCCAAAGAAGGCCGAAAAGAAGCTCTCAGGATGGATGTTTGCACTAGGTCGGGCGTGCAGAGGAGATCCCGATTTTGATTTAGACCCTCGCTAGATGAATCAGCGGAGGCTTCTTTACCTCTTGCTTTTTATTAGTGTATCATGGGGACATGCCACAATTTAAAATGTGGGATGGGGGATGTAAATATGCACATATTTGTTTTCGTTTTCTTAATTGAAAAAACAAATGTTGACTTTTTCAGACGATGGATTTCCTTAATTGTCTTCTTGAGGGATTAAAGTCGAAGAAAACATTTTGTGTTTTGTCTTTCATTTTTTATTTTCTTAGGTAGTGTAACAATTTCCCCTTGGTTTTTCTTTGTGCTGCGATTCTTTTTCAAGGGTTTTGTTTGAATCGGGTAGTTAGTTTTTCTTTATTAGCAATAGTGAAGTCTTGTGCTATGGTATTAAATGGAGATAATTGTTCTTGACTTCGCTGTGCCTTGAGAGTGGTGAGTGCCTTAGTTGTGACGCCTAGGCTCAGTTCTTGACTCATGTATAATAGTACCTTAAATTGTTTGATTTTGACTTTGCTACTATTTTGACTAGAGAGTCGGGATAGATCCGATCCTAAGTGAGTTATTTAGCAATGTGTGAGTGAGATTTTTGTTGATATTCTGTGTATTCTAGTTAATGTCTAGAACTTGCCCAGTATGTTTGGATAGCAAAATAGCAGTCTTATTCAGTCTTGGAAGTGATATAGGCATTTTTTTGTTGAGCCAGTTATATGTTTTTACCCACCTAATAAATGTGTATCTTTGTTAGCCCCTTTGAGCCTGTAATCCTACTTATTTAGCGACCACACTAAAAGGCTGACCCATTTTTTTGAATTCACCATTTGTTTAAACCTTCTACCTCTCTTGAGCACTTGAATTTGTTATGAGTTTGTAAAAGCTAATTAGAGATATGGTCGGGTTTTTGAGTGGAACTTTGAAAAAGGAGATAGGTGCATTGGTGAAGTTTGTGAGAGCCACATGTAAGGAATTGGATGGAAAAAAAGAGAAAGAAAAGTCAATCAGAACTTTGAAAAAAAAGAGTTATGTATGTATTAATAAAAAAAATTGATTCCTAGCTAGTGGTAGTTCTCATCTTGTTTGTGCTTAAAGAAAGTAGGAGCTTGATGTTGTGAAGATTGGTGTATGGTTTAACATAAGTGGGGGTTTAGAATGTGAATTTGTATGTATTAAAGTGCTTGGGAGGTGTAGTCATTATTATCTATATGTATCCTACCCGTCCCGCAGCATACATTACAACCAAAATAAAGTCTTACTTGATCCTTGACTGAATGAGCTCAAATTAGTAGACGACTACACTATGGGCAAGCTTATGGTATGTTTATGTGGTGCATTAATTTTATTTCTGAGAGTGAGTTAATTCTTTCTATGTTGAGTTCCTATTTATTCTTGAATTTTATTGTGTGTGGAACTAATCTCTATCTTTAGTGTGAGGGCACATGATTTGCGAAGGAAAGGTAATGTCTTTGACCTCTGTGCTACAGTAAGTGAGCGGGTTTTTGAAAAATATGTAGTGCTTTTGAGCCGAGTCTTGAGGCTAAGATGTTATGATAGGGTTCTTAGTATGCTTTAAAAATTCTTGACATGATGCGTTAGGGAAGTTGTCTGATGAGAAGGTCGTCTCTATGCGAACTGCAGTTTGATTGCTTGAGGATGAGCAATGATTTAAGTGTGGGGTATTGATGGTAGGCTAGATACCCGTGTTTTAGTCATAGTTTGCATTCCAATTACTGTATTTTACTTGTGTTTGAGCTTAAATATTAGTGTATTGCGCTTATTATATGTTTTATGCCTTGCAGAAAGTGATTCCGAGCTGTCAAGATAATTTAGAGCTAATTTGAACAAGTTGGAGCTTTGAAATCCGACTAAAAGCTCAAGAAATTAAGTCCGGATCACGTTCGGGGGTCAATGATCAAGTCTGGTTATCAAAAAGTGAGAAAAAGAAAAGATTACTCTGAGATAAATGCACTACCGCGCCGCGGGGCTCAGGGCGCTAGTGCAAAATTCCTGCAGTGTGAAAAAAATCAACTCTCTGAAGATCCTCACTAATGTAGCGCATGGGGCGGCACATCGGGCACCGTGGCAGTGTATGTTCGCGGTCCAATTGTCCCACTTCAGCTTGGAACGGGTAGTTTCATCCGGGCATGTTCCTGCATGGTATAAATACACCAAAACACAATTTTTAGAGGACTTTTTACCTATGGAAGATTGAAAGAGCACTGGAGACTCAAAGCACAAGGATTCATCATTTTTTACTCAACTCAACATCCGAGTTTGGATTGAATTCATGTTGTCTTATTATTCAACTTTATTTTTGACGAAACTCTCCATGAATATGGAGTAGTTTCCCTTAAGGTTTGACGGATATGGTGTTTTGATTGATATTTGTGGATTTTAACTCTAGTTCTTTAACTTCATTCACTAGTTTATTTAATCGAAAAAGGAATATTGTGGTGATTATCTTACGTTGTTTTATTTGGTTTAATTCAATGATTCTCTTAAGTAATCGAAAGAGCTTGTTGAATTGTTGATTAAATCAAGTCAGAAGAATATTCGAGAGACGTTTTCTTGAAGACTAATCCACTAATGCATGCTTGCATATTTTTACAGTGCTTATATTAGTTCACCTCGTAGAGTTAAGATTTAATCGGGAGAGGAGTCTTGGCTACACGTTTGAACTAATCATCGAGTACATTCGTGAGAATCATTAGAACATTAGAGTGAATTGAACTAAAGTTGGGTCACAAATAGCTATCTTGCACCTATCATATCACGACCCTTATTTCTCCCATTGATATTTCAGTGCAGCTCAACTCTTGTCTTCCAGTAATCAATTGTTAATTTTTGTAGTTTCATAGTAAATTTTAGTTATTAATCATCCCAACCAACGTGTTAATAATCCTGAATAACGTTAAGCTAGAAATTACTTGAATATTGTTTAAACTCAATCCCTGTGGAGACGATAATTTTACTATACTATCTTTGGATAGAGAGCATTAATTTCGTGTTGTGTTTTGCGCTCGTCACCGGCCGCCCGGATGCATGCAGATGGCATGGTCTATAGCACATGAAAGTCTAGGAATCAGGCGGAATTCCACATTTATGGCCCTAAAATGCCAAAAAAGAGGAATAGACATGGTGAAGCAATGAATATTAGTCCTTAGAACATTTTTAATAAGCCGGCAATATTTTAGGTGATTAAGATCCGGTCGCCCGGATGCATGCAGATGGCGTGGGCTACAACACACAAAAATCTGAGAATCGAGTAGAATTCCAGTTTTATTACCTTAAACACCCAAAAAAGAAAGGTCATGGCGAAGCGATGACTATTGTTCCTTAGGTCATTTCTGATGGGCCGACAAAATTTTAGGCGATTCAGGTGCGGTCGCATGTTTGCATGCATATGGCGTGGGCTATAGCACACAAAAATCTGGGAATCGGGCGGAATTCTTGTTTTATGGCCCTAAAAGGCCCAAAAATTGAGGAATGGTCATGGCAAAGCGATGACTATTGTTCCTTAGGTCTTATTTGATGGGTCGGCAAGATTTTAGGCGATTTAGGTATGGTCACCTGGATGCACGCAGATGTTGTGGGCTATAGCACATGAAAATTTGAAAATCAGGCAGTATTTCAGATTTATGGCCAAAAAATGCCAAAAATAATATGGAACGGTCATGGCGAAGCGATGACTACTGTTCCTTAGATCGTTTTTGAAGGGCCGGCAAAAAATTTATAAGTGTTTCGGGTTCGGCCACCCGGATGCATGTAGATGGCGTGGGCAATAGCACACGAAAATCTGGGAACCAGGCGAAATTTTAGTTTTATGGCCCTAAAACGCCAAAAATGAGGAACAGTCATGGCAAAGCAATGACTATTGTTCCTTATGTCATTTTGGATGGGCCGGCAAAATTTTAGTCGATTCGGGTCTGATCGCCCCAATAGATGCAGATGGTGTGAGCTATAGCACACGAAAATCTGGTAATTAGGCGGAATTCTAGTTTATGGCCTAAAATATCAAAAAATGAGGAACGGTCATGGCGAAGCGATGACTATTATTCTAGGTCATTTTTTATGGCAAAATTTAGGCAACTCGGGTCCGGTCCGGATGCATGCAGATGGCATGGGCTATAGCACACGAAAATCTGATAATTGGGCGAAATTTCAGTTTTATGGCCTTAAAACGCCAAAAACGAGGAATAGTCATGGTGAAGCGATGACTGTTGTTCCTTAAGTAGTTTTTTAAGGGTCAGCAAAATTTCTGGCGATTCGAGTCAGGTCACCCAGTTGCATGCATATGGAGTGGGCTTTAGCACAAGAAAATCTTGGAAGCGGGCGGAATTCTAGTTTTATAGACCTAAAACTCCAAAATATGAGTAACAGTCATGGCGAAGTGATGACTATTTTTCCTTAGGTCGTTCTTATGGGCCAGAAAAATTTTAGTCGATTCGGGTCTGGTCGCCTAGATGCATATAGTTGGCATGGGCTATAGCACACCAATATCTTGGAATCGAGCGAAACTCCAGTTTTATGACCCTAAAACGCCAAAAAGGAGGAAAGAGCATGGAAAAGCGATGACTATTGTTCCTTAGGTCGTTTTTGATGGGCCGACAAAATTTTAGGCGATTCAGGTCCGATAGTCAGGATGGATACAAATGGCGTGGACTATAACACACGAAAATCTAGGAATCAGGCGGAATTCCATTTTTATGGCCCTAAAATGCCAGAAAACGATGAAGGTCATGGCAAAGCGATAACTATTGTTCCTTAAGTCGTTTTTGATGGGCTGACAAAACTTTAGGTGGTTCGGGTCCGGCCGTCTGGATGCATGCAG